TGAATCATTTGTTGAACATCCTTTTTTTCATCTTCTTATCATTATACTGATCTTTGTGGAATGTGCATCTGTTATAATCGAAATTCTTCTTTATAATGTTAAACGTCAATATGAATGTCACAATCCGCAGTATTTTTCTTCAAAAGCTGACATAAAAAAGAAAACACATCAGCTTGATCATGGAATTGGAGTTTGTCGTTATACATCATTGAGTATCTTATCGATATTTATGATTGAATTGTTTCTTAAAATGTATGCACTCGCTTCTCATTATTGGAATTGGAAAGAAAATCATAAATGAGATTATCTTGATGCATTTTTAGCCGTTTTTTCTTTTTCAACAGAAATTTATTTTCTAACTGTTGACAAAGAATCTGTAATTGCTCATTCAGCTATTCTTATTGTTATACTTCGTTTATGGCATCTTTTACGAATTGCTAATGGTTTGTATATATTTAAACATTATTGTTTTAAACGAACGATGGTCTGTTTTAGCTGTAGCANTTTTTGCAAAATTTAAGCATAAATAAAATACATAAATATAAAATAAACTAAAGCATTCACATCCGCGTTTTCAGACTAAAACAATGAATATTATTAGAGGTCTACAGTTCACAATGCAAGTGAACTAAACCATGTGTACTTATACTTTCATTCTCAAAAACATATTTTGCGATATTACAGTTACATCACCAACATTTGTTTTCAATACTTACTTTTCTTTTTCTGTAAATGAGTCCGAATCATCAAATGAAATGCGTTTGTTTATAAATCTATGTCATTATCGTCATTGTGATGAAACGATAGATTCATGAATCTTTCAACATCGATCAATATGATTAGAACAATTGAATCATTATCCATTGAAAAATTTTATGGAATGTTTTATTTTGTCGATATTAAAACTCTGATATTTTCTATTCGATATATCGTGAATATTAAATCATATCCACAAATCTTTTGTTTCTATTTCGGATCTTTTATTCAAATCTGAAAATGATCCGTTATTAACATTTTCAAACGACATAAAAAACTTATGCAATTAAATTATTTATTTTAAATATTAATATTCAATATTTTACTCACCTTCGTTCAATGAAATTTCATTTTTACAACGAATTAATTCTCATTTTCTTTATTTATATTTCCTATAAGAGAATACAATAGTAAATTACAAACTTCAATCTTCGTCGTTTAGAATTCGATGGAATAAATGATCAATCAACAATGAATTGTTCTACTGCACATTTACTTGTAAAAAATGCATATCGATGAATAGTCTTCATAAAATACTTCAACGTATTCCTTATTGAAATTCAATAATTATAAAAGAAACTATTAATAGATTGATAGAAAATAATTGTTTGTTTATGGATCAGTTGGAATTATGTTTATCATGAATTCCATCATTAATCAATTCATGTGATTAGAAATAAACAGACTTTATGCAAAGAGATAAATTGTTTAACTGGAATATTATTTTCAAAAAAAGCCCAGTTTGTATAAACATCTGTTAGCAGTAACAGTTAAGAATTATAATTGCAAGTTTATGAAGATTATTTGTTTAATGTGAGAAGAACAAAAAGTATTTCCTCTCGGATCTTACAGATATATCAACTTGGAATTATACATGTGAATAATTAAGGATAGTATTGGAAATTCGAATTGAAGTAAATATATTTTCATTTCGTTTTGACAACAATGATTCGTAACCATACGAAAAGCAATAGTCTTAAAGAGATTTTATGCATTTGTCCGTTTAATAGCAAATGATATAACCGTTGATATTCATTTGATACTTTCTCCATAACAAGAACAATCAAGAAAATCTTGTCGATTCTCCTTTTATTGTCATGTAGAACTATGGGTGGATTATTTGAAAATCGCATTCGATTATTGTCACTTTAACGATACGTTCAAATACATTGATCATATTATCGATGAAGTCCATAGTAGGAAAAGTGCATTCTTGAGCAGTGAGATGCGTCAGATTAGGTATTAGAGAGAAAAGACGGTTTAGAATAAGATAACCATTGGAAACATAATATCGTAGAAATAAAGGTCACACACTGTCGGCAACATCAATTGTGTATCAATTTGATGACAAGAGTAATATGAGCCAAATCAAGTGATAAACGCGTCAGTTTTTCATTAACTAGAAGAGAACGAGGTGAAAAATCGGTGAGATCCAGTATGAAGCAATTGGAGACCAAAAAAGTTTCGAGACAACTATTTAGTTCCATATATATGGAATCAATCCTTCTAATCTCTCGAGTTTTTCTGAAGTTAAAGTAATCGAAAGTGTTCGAAGTTGAGTCAATACGCGTATTTCAGACAAATTTTGTGATGCACTCGTGATTTGAAGATCCAGACGAGTGAGTATTGGAAAATCGGGAGAAAGGTAATAAATCAAAACCATGAAGATTAATTCGAAGAGATAAAATTCCCTTTTCTATAGACGATAAGTAAGATAACCATTTATCAATTGAAATAGCAGATGTGTCAATAGTTGATAAATCAACATGATGAAAATGTGCACAGAGAAGACGATTCAAACGGCGATTACATAATTGACCGAATATATAGAGAAGATCTGTTGAACGAAGATAAACAAATATATGATCGAGTAAGAATTCATTCGGCAACGAAAGTAAATGTGTTGTTTCTATAAAATAATCATCTGTTCTTCACATTAGCATTACAATTCAACATATTTTCAACATATTTACATACAATGAACGTCATTGTTTCGCTTCATTTGTTTCCTATTAGCCATTGCAGCATCATGCGATTCAACAAACGTGTGCAAGAGATAGAAAAAATAGAGGTCTCCGCTTTAGAAGGAAATACAAAATTGGCAAGAATTTTGGTATCATCTTTTATCAAACTTAAGCTCAACAAATTGAAGAAAATCTTGTGGGAAAATATTTAAATGAACATGCGATCCATTGTTATTGGTGGAAATGAATTCTTCATTACTATGTGGATGAAGATCACAAGAGAACATCTTTTTTCAACCTAAAATAGATCATAACATTTCATTGTGTTCGTATATTACGAGTTAAATAGGAACTACGGATCAAAAAAGGAAATTGTTTGAATACTCCCCGCACGTCTTCTCACTGCTCTCTATGTCAATTCACTTATTTGAACTCGAAGATAGTTTCATTTACATTGTTCTCAGATCTGACACTGTTTTCTTCCGCAACACAAAACTACCATCAACATATTTTATCCTTTAGAACTACTGGATTGGCGACATATTCTTTGACATATTGTTCGCATATTTAACACAATTGATTCGCGATCAGAATGGAGCAAATGTTAAAATGAAAGAGTACGAAAAGGGTTCCGTACAACTACACAGATTTGATGATTAATGCAGAAAATAAAGATGTTCACTTTTCATTCTTATACCGAAATGACAGGAAAAATTCATTTATTACTACATCTACAGGAACATCTGATAATAATTAAGAAATATCGACATCAAGATCGATGATGTTTTAACATCTGCATTTAAATCTCAAGGTTCATTCGCGATTGCTCGAATGAAAATGCACGAAAATATTCTTGAAGAAGAAATTCTCTTGACTGATGATAAACCGGCGATGGATAATGTCGTTGTTTCTCTCCAAACACTAAGTTTTCATTCGATTAAAATGAAACGAATGTCTTTTCAGAAAAATTGAATATTTTTAATAAATCGAATTATATCAAATTATCGATCTTTTTCTCCTATTTCTGATTGGGAAACTACGTTCAAAAGAAACTTTAGATATAATACTCATATATGAAACTATGATTTTCGTCTTCTAAGATGAGTTCTTTTTATATAAAATACTGAGAATTATCATGAGATTTATTTCTCTATCTATCTAACAAATACTCAAAAAATGCTTTTCGTTATTTCTGTTAAAGTCTATGTATCTTATACATGTGAAATTGTTTTCAATAAAATGTAATTGACACGAACTTTTTTTGTAAATGTCATATGCAAATTTTACTTTCGTCTACTCAAGATTCTGAACTTAATTGTCTTGATGAACATAACGAAGAAACATATAATCAGCGTTGTTTATCGATTTCGAAATTTTCTAAAGAAAAAAGTTTTTCGTCATTTGACATTATTGAAGACACTAGTTATGATTATATCCAGAAATAGTGGCGAAGTATCTGTTTTTTTTTATTAGTCGAAGACAAAAGACTCTTTTTTATGTTATTTAATCAATATCCACTTAAGATCATAGCAGCAAACTCTGGCTGTTATAAAGCAAGAGTGTATAGAAATCGGTATTCACAGAAAAACGAATGGAAAAATTTCCTCAGAATTTTTCTTTTATAAATGTACTGGAATTCGTTTCCACAAAATTCTTAATTTCGTGGTGCTATAATAGCTTCACACTGATCGTTGTAATCGAGAGAATTATCATAAGAATGTTTTGGAACTGATAGTCGAAGATCTGTAATTAATAAACATCAAAATCCAGTGCAATATTTTGAATTACATGACGGATTATTGATAATTCGAGGTACGTAAGCCGTGTTTTTACATCCACTAATATTGCACAATAACACAATGAATAATATTATTGAAAATCTTTTCTTGAAGTTGAAAATGACTTCAAATCAACATTCAAGTATTTATATAGAATCATTGTAATTTTGTTGACGAATGTTTATTGATAAGTTAGAAGATCAATTTTAACAAGAGACAAAAGGATCAAATCGAAGAATTTTGTGTTGATTAATGAATGAAATTAATAAAACATAATTGGGAAGAAAAAGAAGATCATAAACCATATTTGTTGAATTTAAAGATAAATTCCAATTGGCAATTTCGAAACCATTTGAATCAAAAATACGTAAACCAAAATTTGTATTAATAAACCAAATTCTTCCACAATCATCAACTGTTAAATGAGAACCACATTGAGTTGTTGTTCCATTGACAAGAATTTGATGAGTCCACGTCAAATTTTCATATTTACATGAAAGAATTAATCGATCAGACCACGTAGAAATATNCTGAAGTTAAAGTAAACGAAAGTGTTCGAAGTTGAGTCAATACGCGTATTTGAGACAAATTTTGTGATGCACTCGTGATTTGAAGATCCAGACGAGTGAGTATTGGAAAATCGGGAGAATGGTAATAAATCAAAACCATGAAGATTAATTCGAAGAGATAAAATTCCCTTTTCTATAGACGATAAGTAAGATAACCATTTATCAATTGAAATAGCAGATGTATCAATAGTTGATAAATCAACATGATGAAAATGTGCACAGAGAAGACAATTCAAACGGCGATTACATAATTGACCGAATGTATAGAGAAGATCTGTTGAACGAAGATAAACAAATATATGATCGAGTAATAATTCATTCGGCAACGAAAGTAAATGTGTTGTTTCTATAAAATAATCATCTGTTCTTCACATTATCATTACAATTCAACATATTTTATTACTTACGTTTCGTTTTCATATTACTCATAGAGTGTTTACATCATAAATATCCAATCAATTTTATATATAATGAACATCATTGTTTCGCTTCCTTTGTTTCCTATTAGCTATTGCATCATGCGATTCGACAAACGTGTGCAAGAGATAGAAAAAATAGAAGTCTCAACTTTAGAAGGAAATACAAAATTGGCAAGAATTCTGGTATCATCTTTTATCAAACTTCAGCTCAACAAATTGGAGAAAATCTCGTGAAAAAATATTTAAATGAACATACGATTCATTGTTATTGATGGAAATTAATTCTTTTAAAATCAACATCACCTTGAAGTTGTGAAGAAATAAAATGAATTCTTCATTACGATATGGATGAGGATCACAAGAGAACATTTTTTCTCAATCTAAAATAGATCAATTACATTTCATTGTGTTCGTATATTACGAGTTAAATAGGAACTACGGATAAAAAAAGGAAATTGTTTGAATACTCCCCACATGTCTTCTCATTTCTCTCTATGTCAATTCACTTATTTGAACTCGGAAATAGTTTCGTTTACATTATTCCCAGATCTCACACAGTTTTCTTCCGCAACACAAAACTACCATCAACATATTTTATCCTTTAGAACTACTTGATTGGCTACATATTCTTTGAATATACTGTTCGCATATTTAACACAATTGATTCACGATCAGAATGGAGCAAATGCTAAAATGAAAGGTGATAATGAGTACGAAAAGGGTTCCGTACAACTATACAGATTTGATGATTAATGCAGAAAACAAAGATGTTCACTTTTCATTCTTATACCGAAATAACAGGAAAAATTCATTTATTACAACATCAACAGAAACATCTGATAATAATTAAGAAATATCGACATCAAAAGCCTAATGTGTTGGGAGATTGTAAAAGTCCAGGCTTCGTAGCGATACTTCATAAAAATATACGAATGCATAGAATTTTTATTAGTTATCTAGGAGATACATAAAATTATATTTTAGCCAGAAAAGAAAACGAAGTTTTGATTAGATCTCGTCATGTTCTATTGTATAACCTTACGCGTTAATTAGATCCCGTCTACTGGAAACTGAAATTCAAATATGGAATTAGTAGACTTACAGAATAGCAAAAGAAATATTTGTAAAAACTTTTTCATTGTGGAAAAGTCGATTAAAATGCTTTTAATTGAAATCTCACGNTTGAAAAATATTCATTTGATTTTCATTTAAATCTGTTCGAATTAAAATTCGAGTTAAATTTCTTCGAAAATCTTTTATTGATTCATTTCGTTCTTTCAAATTCATTTTACGATACTAAATTAATCAATTGATTCAAAAGAAAAACTCAATATTAAACATACAAGAGGAGAAACTTTATAATTGATTTCACGAAGTTTTTCAGTTAACCAATGAATTTTTTCATTTGAATTACAAAATAAAACAATTTGATTTATTGTAATTAAATTTAATAAGTCCAATAAAGTTTCGAATTTCCATTCCTAAATGAAAAGTAAATTTTCTTTTTATACAATTTTTTTCGATTTACTTCACGTTCAACATTAACATAATATTGTTGAATATCTTTAAATATCAATTCTTTGTTCTTTGGAAGAATATTTATAGGATTATTTAGAAAATTTTCCGTTAATTTCATTAATTCTTCAGATATTGTGTTTAATAAAACAATACTTTGAAAATCTTTTCGCAAAGTAGCAATAATTTCATAAATTTCTTTTTGAAAACCATATGAAAGAATTTCATCAAGATTATCGAAGACAATTATTCGAATTTGATCATTTTCTATAAGGAAAAAAAATGCAATCAATGAAGAGAAATTAATAAATATTTCATACTAAGTATTGATCTTCTAAATAGATCAGAGATTCGAGCAGGTGTTCCAATAACAATTTGAACATTTTTTTCAAAAGCTTTCATATCTTCTCGAATTTCAATTCCACCAATACAACAATGATATGATAAATTCATAAATTGACCAAGTGAAATAATTATTTCATAAATCTAAATAAGAAATTGATAATAGATGAATATTAATCAATAAAAAGATTTACTGATTGAGCTAATTCACGTGTTAAAACAACAATTAATGCTTGACAATCTTTACAATTTCCATCAATTCGTTGTAATACGGTTATCAAAGATGTTATTGTCTTTCCTGAATATGATTCAGATTGTATAATCATATCACGACCTATATTTCAGACAAATTTATTCGATCAAGTTCATTTTGCAGAGATATTTACCTGAGAGACACGATTGAAGAGATTTTCGTTGAATTTCTAATGGAGAATCGAATCCATATTGATAAATTCCACGTAAAAGTGATTCATTTAAATTCAAATTATCAAATTTGTCAATTGTTCCATTCTGTTCTGATTTACTTTCATTTCTAAATAGAAGAAAAGATCATTAAAAGATCGATGTTCTGAAAAAATACATACACTGAAGAAGATTTCGTCTCACTTTGCATTGTGAATCGTAAGTAAAACGAACTGTGTGATGAGTCAGAATATGAAGATTTGAGAAGTGACCAATTATTTTTTTAGTTAATTTTACATAGAAAATCAAAAGCGCTACAATCGATGAAAATGAAACATCGTTTTGTTTTCACTTTGATCTATTCAAGTTTAGATCATTTTAATCCATTTATTTTTCTTTGGATTATGTAAATCTTTTCTCTTTTTTAACATTAAAATATTTTCATATGATTTTGTATCAATGGACAAAGTTGAGAGATATTTGTCAATGTTTCTATGTCTCATAATTATCATTAGTTGTAAGACAATTCATGGTACGTGTGGTGTTTCGAAGAATTCCTTTCTTTCTTTGACGAAGACTTGTTTGATTTTCAGGATGGCCTTCAAATACATCTGAAATAGATAAAAATGATTGGACTGGTATTTGGTTTGGTGTCGTTGAAGGTTATCCAAAAGATGCATTAGGTGTTGGTTGGAATGTTACATGGGAAATTGGTTCTTATCCAATGATTGATCATCATTGTACAACATGGAGAATTGTTTATCGAAGTGAAAATGTAATTCAATTGGAGAAAAATAATGAATTTTGTCGAGGAAATGATTCAAATGATCTTTATATTCGAGATAAGAATGGAGGAAAAGCAGCAGTTCAATGGATCGATGATGTTTTAACATCTGCATTTAAATCTCAAGGTTCATTTGCGATTGCTCGAATGAAAATGCACAAAAATATTCTTGAAGAAGAAATTCTCTTGACTGATGATAAACCGGCGATGGATAATGTTGTTGTTTCTCTACGAACACTTAGTTTTCATTCGATTAAAATGAAACGAATGTCTTTTCATAAGAATTGAATATTTTAATAAATCAAATGATAATTAAGAAAGAACATAAGAAAATATCATGATAATCATTTGTTGCATCGAGTTATTAAGCAACACATTGTTTCTCACTTAAAAAAAAACATTAAAAACATATGATTTCATATCAACAAAATATTCTTCATGATAATGTCTCAAATCAAATTTGAATTTTTACTAAATGAAATCTTATTTTAATGTTTTTCATTCATTTAATCAATTAAATCATCGGTTGAATTCTCTCATCACAAATCTTCCATTTAGTTTAAATTTCAATATGAAGAGTTTTGTAAGAAATTATCGTCTGATAAAACAATTTCAAATGAATTTTATTCATTATATTTATTTAATGGAAAGATTTGTTATCCAATTCATTTATTTATTTTCAAAATTCTCCCTTTTACGACTTACTCATCTCTGTTCGTTAATTTTATATAAAATCACAACAAATAATTGGAAATCTCTGTGTCCAATCCTTTCATCAATTGATCTGTTTTCGATTAATTGACACTTGTGAATTATCAGATGATATTATATCTCAACTACCAATATTAACCATCCCTGAACATTCAATCACTTTTACATATTTAATTTTCATCACTGATTTATTTATCGATCAATGAATGTTGTCTAAATGATTTCTTTATTCTGTTAAAAAATGTGTCTAATTGAACTTATTTGAAAATATCCTATTTCCAACACAATACAATAATAGAAGATGTTTTATGCATTGCAAATAATCTCAAAACATTACATATGAATTCCTTCGATAGTGAAATTCAGTATATTCTAATACTATTAGAACAAACACTAAATTTAGAAGATTTAATAATATTAGATAATCATATGAATCAAATGTTATCGATGCTTTGAAATGGCGAAATTTCCTAAGTTCTTCATTGGTACATAGAATATATTATCTCAGAATATTCAGCATTAATTTATACAAAACCATATCTATCTAATGTATTTCAACTTCAGTTAAATAGTCATCGATATCAGAAGGATTCGATTGGTGATTCTTTGAAAACATTCGATAATATCAAAGAGTTAACAATTCACCCTCAAGATTTAATCGAATTGGACACTCAATATTATTTTTCTAATATTAACTCTTTAATTATTGGAAATTCAAGTGTGACATATAATTGTTATGGCAGAATCGAATCATTCGAGTCGAAAATGTCTTCAAATGATGATTAATTTATCAAATGTTAAACATTTGATTTTATTACGGAAAGTTCATTCTGAATCAAGAAATCTATTGATCGAAATATTCAAATATACAACACAATTATCATCATTACAGATCTTTGCCTTGGATTTAATATGTTATTTTGAAGATGATGAAATATCGAAATATTTCAATAAATTTATTCAAAAATTGAATACTTATGATAATCATTTAGGAGATTTAGATCAAATAAAAGAATTCTGTCAAATATTTGTTAATCTTGAACAACTCATTCGTTCATTGAATAGTTCACATATTATATTTTTAATCAAATATTTACCGAGATTGAAATATATCGATTATTATATGATTTTTCAACATAATGAATATTGTTCAATATGATAATGATGATTCTCCTAAACATTTATTCATTTGTATCAATTGAAATGAGATTCTTCCATTAGAAGAGAATGTCGGTTTTGAAAAATCTCTTTGAATAAAGACAAAGATTCATTCGATGTTGGGAAACAATGTCCACTGTTAAGAAACACGTTTAAAGGAATGAACATTTTCATTTGTTATTATATTTGTATATCTCAGCACTATTTTTTTCTGCTTAGTCACACGTTTCAGATAAAGACATCGATCCGATCGATGCTATTTATTTGATCTTTCTATAAGATAAGAAAGAAATGAATATGTAGCTGTACGTTGTCACATAAAGAAAGAACGAGAAAGAAAAGCGGACTTTTATAAATTATTTCTGATTTGACGATATGTGTTTTCACAACATTAAAGTCATTACAAAGTTCGAATGATTTTGGAATTCTCCGATAGGAATATTAATATTATAAAATCTCTTCTACAGACGTTCTTTGGTCTTTTATTTTTTGCTGATTGTTTATGCAATGGTCGAAGAAATATAACCATCATGTTCGGTAGTTTCTTTTGAAATATCTTAAACTTTCCTTTTTTAGTTACAAGTTTCAGCTTGATTCTATTAACTTGTGCATCTTTCTCAATTTCTCGTTCATTTTTTACAACAGTAGTCTTGTTGAGTGCATTGCGTAACCCACTGATCGATCTCTGTGCCATACTTTCTCCTTCATTCGTTGAAATCTGGGTTTCTGCCTCTATTTTTCTGTTTTTTGTTGTTTTCGCACCAGCTGCATTATGTCTGAGTTTAATATTTCGTACTTTGTCAATATGATTGAAATCTGTGAATGTACGTGTTATAATATTTCTATTCTCTGTTCGTATGGTTACTTGGATTGGTCGACTTTTTCATGTCAATCAACTTCTGCTAGTCTGTCGAATTACTGTAGTTAATGATCATGAACTGGATGTAACAATTATGCGTATCGATCATAGCATTGTTGGTGGTGTATTCAATGAAGGATTTGAATCAGTGTTTGAGACTTTTTATTGGTATGAATTGGCGTGCCATGTACCTGAGATAAAATCTAATCCAGCACGAAGTGAAAAGCACAGTTTGGTTATTGGATGCGGAGGGGCATCGTCATCGATGCGCTTATACATCGTTGCAAATTCGATCAAGTGATTGTTGTAGATAACAATGCCGATGTGCTCCATTTTGCTGATAAATACTTTGGTCTAAGTGACACTGCCACCCTTATCATTGCGGACGGTCTCGAATTCATTATGGCTCAAGACTCCAATACATTTGAATTAATTGTGCACGATGTATTTAGTGGTTCACTCATGCGTAGTCATTATATTGAAGAATTGATCTCCAACTGTTTTAGGATACTATCCAACAGCGGTATTTTAGTTCTTAACTTAGTTTCCACCGTTCAAATGGAAGTTCTACACAGTTTGATTGAGCAACTTCAATGTGTTTTCAAACAAATCCGATGTTTTTGTGAAGATGGTGTCAGTTCAGTTACGACTGGTGCACTTGTCAACTTTATTTTCTTTGCCAGTAAAAACGACCAACTACTACAATTTGATACATCTAATCATAATCGCGCTTCTGCGAGTGCCTTTGGAAAACTTAGCTCAAGTGAAATTGAGGATGAAGATGAGAGCGAATGCTTGTTACTTTCATTCACACAATCTCGCTCGAACTCGAACTATAGCAGAAAAAAAAAAGATTCACAATATAATTACCTTCACCCACAAAGAAATATATAAAATACGTTATTTGTCATAGTTGGGAAGAGTAATCGAATCAGCAGGCGAGGCGATAAACTTTTTAGTCAGATTTCCTGCATCCATTTTTAAAACCCAGGTCGAACAAGCCCATACTCGGATCCCATCAGATCCAATACAGGATTTTATCAGATTCTACAGGAATTCGACGGATCCGAAATATGGATTTCCTGAATTTTCTAAGGTTCATCATAGAACATAGCTAAAAAGATCGCTCATAAAATTTGCAACAACCGGCGGGATTTTTCTAGCTGGATTCCAATGCAATTCCGTTTCCAGGAATCCGATCGGATTTTTTTACCTGGGCGGTTACCATTTTTCTATAAAAGAAGATTTCACCAATAATCTTCGTCTAAATTTCTTTCTTCGTAGGTAGATATAAACGTATTTCGACACATTATTTTCACCGACGTTGTCGTTTACTATAAGTCGAGGTTTACACCGATGTATATCCGAAATTCTATTGTTCTTTTAAAGGGACATTTATCTTGTCTTTCTAACATGAAAACTCAACATCCGTTTTTCTTGGAAATATTCAATAAAAGTACATTATATTTCTCTGATGTAGGATAAATTTATAAAATATATTGTGCTTCTACAACTTTGCAATTTCCTGTCTTGTTTTAATGATTCTACTCCGTTGATATACGCTTCATTGCTTTGCATAAGTTATAACCAGTAGAAGAAACATGACTTAAAATGAAGAGTACTATTAATAGAAGTATTCATTAACAGAAGCTTCGTATTTGGAAGGAATATTTGATTGAATTCGTGCAGTTTGTTGCGAGAAGAGGTTCGCAAAAAATAACAATTCAACATCATCGATTAATGAGAAGCTGAATGAAACATATTGGATTTGATTGTCTTGAGCGATCCCGCAATGTGCTTCTATATTCAACTGATATGTTCATCATCGTTGATTTCCTCCATTTTCGTTACTTGCGCCAGGAAAGTTGTGTCACTCGAGTGTGTTTTCAATAAAGTACATCTGTATATAAAGAATTGATTGTACAACGATCGTTTGCCACTGTGCTTAAGTAACAAGAATGTCAATTTTTTTCTCATAATAATTTATACACGAAGTTATAGAGTATAAATAAAGAATAGTAAACTAGTTTTAAAATGTAAGTAGGATGGGAAGAAGAAGAAAGAAATGATTTATTTCACTGCATTTCTTCACTTGATTTAAGAAATTCTGCTCGACATAGTTTCTCAGTTCTTGTTGATGTTACTTATTTCTACGACAAAACGTAATCTATTGGTGAATTAAGATTTGAAAGAAAGACAAGATATGCTGCTTTTCTTTATCGTCATGTTGTTCGCGACTTCAACTACAATGCATTCGATCTATTACTCTAGAATTACGTTTAGCGCAATAGAACATGAATTTCAACCTGTCAATAGTGTTCAACTGATATTAGTTACAATAGCTAAAAGTCGAACAATGTGCTCTGTGGCATGTAATGAACAGCCGTTCTGCCGTACATTAGATTATGATTCAGCTTCGGGTCGCTGTCGACTTTTCGAAGCAGATGAGACGACTGGATCAATTATTTCATCTACTTCACCCACTTCAATCGTTGGTACTGTTTCCATCTCATCACTAGAATTCGTTCATATTCATAATGAATCTTGCAAAGCATGTCAACAAGATCGATATGAATATTGTCCGATCAATGGAAATACTTGTCAATGTTGGCCACATACATTCTGGAATGGTTCAGTGTGTTTGTTACAACTATTTGAAAACGGCACTTGCTCACAATTAGATGCTTGTCGAGACGATTTTAATTTGACTTGTGCAACGGAAATGGGACAATTTACAATTTGCACATCAGGTATTTATTTTCATAGAAACACGATCTACCGTTAAAATAAATCGCCGTCGAATATTCAAGATGTGAGAATCCGAGTATAGGTGACAGAAGTGAGATTGACATGCGGAATATGTGACATCACTTACTAATTATTGGAAAAAAGCAGAAGAGAAGGTTACTTTTGATTCTCTTCACATATCACACTACTGTGAATAGTGGAAATCTAACAGGGAAGATCGAAATATTCTTGTATACTATATTTCAGATCTCACAACGCTCGACTCTACTGTTATTACAAGTATGACGTCTACCACTCCTATCTGGATGTCTACTGCAATCGCGACCACTACTGATCAAGTCACGACGACTGAAATCCCCACTAGTACTCAAAGGATTACCACTGTAAGTGTTCAACAAAACATTACAACAGTTGCTGGTTCTTGGAATGGATCTTGTGCGGCATTGAGTGGAGGTATGACCACACTTCATACACAAGGAGGAATAACTGTTTCTCCTGATGGGACGCTTTATGTAGCTGATGGTAATCCTATCTATGCTGTGCTTGCTTTCAAGCCAAACAATTTCACAGCTAAACAAATAATGTCATTCAGTGACTGGCCAGCATTCATGTTTTTTGATAGTAGGACATCATCACTCTACGTGACAGTGTTCTATTTATATTACGCACGAGTTTGGCCATCAAATCAAACTATTCCTAGCGGTACTACTGGTAGCTGTGCTGCAACTCAGTTGCTTTGGCCAACTGGCATTGTCGTTGATTCTCTGGGTAATATTTACATAACTAGTAGTGGATGTCACGTAGTAATAAAATGGAATTCAAATGCTACTATTGCAACAGTTGCGGCTGGATCGTTATCGGTGTCAGGCACCGACAACTATCATTTCAATCAACCATACGGTTTATTTCTTGATGCAAACGATTCATTACTTTATGTGGCTGATTTTAATAACCACCGTATACAAAAATTCATTTTGGGCAATTCAGCTGGTGTAACTGTAGCTGGTGGCAACGGGCAGGGTTCTGCATCGAACCAACTTAACCGCCCGACAACCATTTATGTTTCTCAACAAGATGATTCATATTATATCTGTGATTATCACAATAATCGAATACAAAGATGGGCAATAAATGCAACTTATGGTGTCACTATTGCTGGAAGTAGTGCTGGTGTAGCCGGCAGTGCATTGAATTTATTAAATGCGCCATATGATATATGGGTTCATCCAAATAAAACATTTATGCTAGTATCAGACTCAAATAATTGTCGTATACAGAAATATATTCTGTATTAATTGAATATCTCATCTAGTATTTGCTATCAGTCGCTAGATGTGTCTTAAATATGACTATTTTTTGGACTAAGATGTTTAATAATGTAATTTGAATCATTTGCTCAATTTTTAATCGTAAGAAATCGTCGTCGGCAAAATAGAACTTTTACGAAAGACTGGTTTTTTTTTCATTATTGGCATACTTACTTAAAATCTACGCCACTGTAGATGCTGAAAATTCACCCCGATCGAACATAGGAGACACTATCTATAAAAGATTGTTTTTTTTCTGTTATCTCCGCAGAATACATCTTATTCTGCAGTTTTGCACTTTTGGGAACCAGTTCCGCATCCGGAATCGGTAGAAATCTCTGAGAATTTCCAGGCTGGAAATTCCAGCTATTCCGTCTTCCACCAAATTCAGAAATTCGTTGACGGAATCACGCTCAGAATCTTTACAACAAAAACACCTAATTATAACAAATTAATTAATATCGCCAAAAGGGCCTGATCGTTACACAGGCCCTGTTTTCATCGATAATTGCACCCACCTATCATCATTTGTCGCTTCTCAACAATAATGGTTCACTTTTCACATGTAAGATATCTTGGACACGGATTCGACCTTTCCTGGAACGGATTCGCACACGAGTGTATTCCAACTTGATGAGCTCTATCTATTCCAAAAAAAATTTCCCGGAAATACTTACCCTGACCTCTGAAAAAATGCAAAAAATTGCAAAAAAATACGAAAATTTAACAAAAACAAGCATGGATTCGTTTCTTCACTTGCAACTACTATTTCAACACTTGTTACAGATACAACTCGAGGAGCTCTATCGATTCCAATCATTAAAAAAATTTCACCCACCTGCACCCACACCCAAACTTATCCAAAGCTGCATAAACTCTAGCTTTTTATATACGAAGTCTGATTACCCAGGTCGAATAATACCATAGTCAGATCCCATCGGAACCAATATAGGATTTTATCAGATCCTACAGGAATTCGACGGATCCAATGAAATCCTGGTGACGGAATCGCCTTGGATTCCGACGGTCTCGGATCCGATCGGATCCCACTTCGGATCTCGTCGGAACCGAAACATGGATTTCCTGGATTTTCTAAGGGTCATCATAGAATATAGCTAGAAAGATCGCTCATAAAATTTGCAACAACCGACGGGATTTTTCTAGTCGGATTC